GAAGGAATTGGAGACTGCATACAAAGCCCTTGCTCACCTACAGCCAGACATTGATCTAACACATCTCAGCCTTTGAGGAATCTACCCTGGGCGGCTGATCTGCATCCAAATGCCACACTCCCCTTAGGCTTGACTCTGGCTATCCATACAGTATATTTGTTTTGTTGTTTTGTTTTTCAAGACAGGGTTTCTCTGTGTAGCTCTGGCTGTCCTGGAACTCCCTTTGTAGACCAGGCTGTCCTCAAAGTAACAGGCATCTATCTGGATTAAAGGCGTGTGCTACAAATATCTGTAATGATAGCTTCAGAACCTTTAGCCTTATACAAGGTTAAGAGGGTTTTTTTGTTTGTTTGTTTTGTTTTGTTTTGTTTTTTTGAGACAAGATTTCTCTGTATTACTTTAGAGGTTGTCCTGGAACTCACTCTGTTGACCAGGCTAGCCTCGAACTCACAGAGATCCACCTGACTCTGCCTCCCGAGTGCTGGGATTAAAGGCATGTGCCACCAATGTCTGGTGGTTAAGAGTTCTTGATGTTTTCACAGAGAATCAGTTCCCAGCACATACATAAGGCAGCTCTGAACTGACTGTTAACTACAGCTCCAGGAAACCTGCAGCCCTATTCTAGCCTCATCAGGCACCTGTACTCACAATGGCATACATTCACAAAGATACACACACACACACACACACACACACACACACACACACACACACTTTATACTAATACTACTACTACTACTAATAATAATAATAATAATGTGGAGTTTCTGAAGTGCCATGGCCTGAGCTTTGTTTGTTGGTGCTCTTCTTGGTCTTACCAATAAGAAGTCATGGGGGATAGTAAACTATCTACAAATGACCCACTCTTTTCCTCTCCCTTCTATCATGGAGAGAACAGGGGCCTTGTGTATTGTCGCCCTGTGACTAGGATTACCCTTACCAGATATTAAACACCCAATAGTGAGCTGTTAGATGAAGTGACAGTTGGTGGTGTGGTTGGGATATTAGCATTGGTTTTATGAAGAGCTGCACAAACCTCTAATGACATCAGCTTTGAAAATGCAAGGAACAGAGCTGGGGAAGTAGCTCAGAGGCAGAGTGTATGCTCAGCACATGTGAGGCCCTGAGTTCAATCTCCATCATCAAGAAATAACAAAAACAAAAACACAGAGAACCCCTGTCTCAAAAAACCAAACAAAACAACAACAACAAAAAACACAAAGGAAAAGAAAATCTATGTTAGAAGGCAATCCATATTTACTTAGAACTACTACGTCATAATTCTATCATAAGAATATGTGGTAAGTTCAAGGCTAGTCTTAACTATATGAGACCCTGACAATCAGTCAATCAACTGGAAAAACTAAAATGGGTTATATATCAACTAAAATCCTCTGAAGAATTTCTTAAAACTAAAAGATAAGATTCCTGTACATGGAATAACTATTGCATATATCTATACAACAACATGTAAAACAACACTTCCAGGCCTACCATCAAAAATAAGGGCACCAGCAGCTGCTGGGCATAGGATCTTTGTGCCAGCACCAACCAGGAAGTCCCTGTCTTGGTAACACATAGTATTCTGACTACACCAGACCCAAAGGACTCTAATGGTCCACCAACCGTATCTGAAATGCCATTCATTTCTTGCACACTGGTCACAGAAAATAAACATAAATTGTACATTTGCAAACATCCATTTAAAACACTGTGTTGAAAGATCTGTATGCAAAGTCAAGATTGGATATTAAAAACTCTTTGTTCTACTGGAAAACCAACGGACCTCCAGGCAGAGGATCTGCAGGGAGCTGCCTGGATTTGGGAGGCATTTGTAAGATATATAGATGCTAATATTCTTTATATGGTATGTGAGCCAAAAGTCAAAGAAAGTGCATATAAACAGATATGACAGATATTGAAAACCATTTGTCAGTTTTAGATAGTAGCTGCTGCTGTTCAAGCCCCAGTCTTCTCGGGGCTGACCTCAATATACAACTAACTTGGAGAAAAAGAGTTTACTGAACCAAAAGAAAAAAAAGTAGTGTTTCCTGAAAGTCACCCTCTGTTCTGTGTATTTATAGTCAGCTAGTTCATCAAGATGTAGAAATTTCTGGAATCAATTTTCCAGTGCTACAAACTTCCAAAGACAAGTAACAATTACAAAATACGGCTATTTTATGTTGGGGACTTTGGTAGGGAGGTTGCTTTGTTTTGAGACATAATCTCCATAAGTAGTCCAGGTGACAGAAGTGTGAATGGGGAAGGTGACCTCACAGGCGCGCACACACACACACACACACACACACAGAGAGAGAGAGAGAGAGAGAGAGAGAGAGAGAGAGAGAGAGAGAATGTGCACCCAGAAAAGGTTAGGCAAGACAGCCCAAGGACACATACCCTGTGACCCAATTCTTCCAAATAGGCTCTACCTCCTACTTCTCACCACCACCAATGCCATCACCAAGGGATGAACCTTTCCATTAAGTCAGAGTCCTTAGGACCCAACTGTCCCTGGATCTGTCCTTACTGACCCAGCCAGAGATGCACTGCTCTCAATCCAATCAAACTAACTGCCAATCAAGATTAACCATCACAGGGCTGAAGAGATAGGCTCAATAGTTAAGAGCACTTGTCAAGGACCCGAGTTCAGTTCCCAGCACCATGTCAAGCAGCTCACAACTGCCTGTAATTCCAGCTCCTCTCTCTTCTGGTCTCTGCAGCCAGCCCCACATGTGTGGTATCAGACACAAACACACACACACACACACACACACACACACACACACACAAATTACAGCTGGGCAGTGGTGATACACACCTTTAATCCTAGCACTCCGGAGGCAGAGGCAGGCCTACAAGTAGGAGGCCAGCCTGATCTATAGAGCAAGTTCCAGTACAGCCAGAGCTACACAAAGCAACCCTGTCTCAGATAAGAAAAAAAAGAAAAGAAAGATTACATTACATTTCTTTACTCACTTCTTTATGGTTCTCTTCATTAGCCCCTGATTTCAACGTTCATCCTGTAACACTTTCATAGTCAGAGATGAGAAGGTCAATTATTAAATGTTCATTCTACGTGTGAATTATGAGCCATATATATGCAAACACTGGTTTGTTTAAATAGTAGACACAGGGTGGGAAAGATTCCAAAAGTCCATAAAATGCTTGCTGTACAAGCAGAAAGACCTGAGGTTGGTCCCCAGAACACACAGAAGAGCTGGATGTGGTGTTACATGCCTGCAACTCTAGTGTCACAGAAACTTAGGATTAGTTTAGGGTCTCAGGGCAGAAAGAGACTGTCCCAAAATAACCTGGGGACAACATCTGAGGTTGACCTCTGACCTGCATACACACACATATACTTGAACACATGTAAACACAAATATTAACTAGCACAGAACACCCCACTCCTATGACAAGCACTCCCTTAACAAGTGAGTGACATAACTCCAGGACATCAAGCCATAACAACATCTGGAGTTTTCCAAGCTAATGTTTGCTTTTGGGTTTGGGGGTTTTGTTTTTTGTTTTGTTTTGAGGGGGACAGGGTTTCACTATGTGTCCCTAGCTGGCCTTAAATTACCAGAGAGGTAAAAACCTGGGGCATAAAATTCAGTGACAAAGGGCTTGCCTAGCATATATGTGGTCTCAACTTGAATTTCCAGTATAATGAGAAGGGGAAAAAAAGAGTACCTACAAGAGCCAACTATTTCCAAGACATTAAAACTTCTTTCAAAGATTTATTCTATTTACATGTATATTTGTATGACTCTATGTGTGTCCATGCATATGATTACAGTTGCCCACTGGAACCAGAAAAGGGCATCAGATCTCCGGGAACTAGAGTTTCAGGTAGCTGTGAACTGCCGGGAAATGACCTCACATCATCTGCAAAAGCAGTATAGGCTTTTAACGACTGAGCCATCTGCCCAGTCCAAGACATTAAATTCAGATGTTCTAATTTCAACTACTCATGAGCTCACACTCAGTTACTCAGCAATTCACAAAACTGATACTCAGTTATTCATGGGCTCCCACTAACACTCAGTTACTCAGTAGCTCACACTGACACTCACTCATGGGATCACACTAACACTCAGTTTCTCAGGAGCTCACACTGACACTCAGTTTCTCAGGAGCTCATGTAATTAATTCCAAAAATTTCTGGAAATCAATTTTGTACTTTAAACAAGATTATCTGCTGACATCCCAAGTAGGCATGCTAAATGCTGCTACCCAGCATACTGCATTATGGACCTTGTGAAGATGTTATTCTTTTTAAATGCATGACAGGAAGATGACACCAAATGGACATAGAGCCAACACACTAAAGAGAAACCTGGTAAGAGTAATCACATGAGAAATGCTCCCTGCTTCTCAAACATTAAGATTTTTGAGTCAGAAAGTAAGTAAGTAAGTAAGTAAGCCAGAAAGCCAGTAAGATGGTTCAATGGGTAAAATCACTTGACACAAATGACAAAATGAATTCACTCCCAGAACCTCTATGAACATGATGAATGCAATGGTGGACATCTATAATCCCAGCACTCCTACAACAACATAAAAGGTTAAAGATGAGCTAGCCTGGACTACTCAATAGCAGAATCAATAAGAAATCCCTTCTCAATGTAGTAGAAGGAGAGAACCAACTATCAAATTCTGTCTTCATGCCATGGTATGTGTCCATACACATATATCACACCCTCCCACCTACCCAATAATAGTAATAATAGTAATAATAGTAATAATAATAATAATAATAATA